AGAGTGATTTGGGATCAAAGTTGTTAGATAGCCTTATTCCACTTGTCGGTACCCTTATCTTTACATCTTCGTCTGATCGATCGCCAGTATTGTGGTCCACTTAAACACGAAACATTTGTGACAAGATTTGGACAATTTACCAATGACATGATACATGAATATATATAATTATAACTTTATTATCATGATTGGCCCTAATTCTTAAATATATTTTTCTTATGACCATTTAACTAACTACAACCAGGGATATTGTTGTCCACCTAAATCGAGCAGCGAGATCTACAGACAATCTGTATGTGTTCAATTTTAATTGTACTAGAACGTGTTTCCCGCTGCCTGATATGCCCCAGCCATCAAGAACTTCCAGAGTACTCCTTACATCGGGTGAGCAGACAATCATTAGGAGAGAGGATTGATTAAGATTGTTATTACTTATAGTTTTAGAGGGATTGAGAAGTAGAAGGTTGCATATGCTGTGTACCAGGTCGGATTGTAAGTCACGCAAAGGAGACAACATATGGCTAACAGATAAGAAGAATTTCTCAGATATTATTTGCAGAGAAATATAGTTGCGTATGTTACAGTCCAGGTCGGATCTCCTGATCACGCAGAGGAGGCAACATATGACTGACAAACAGAGAGAAAGAAAACAATTTTCTACAGACCTAATTCATCGGAATTTACCAGTCTCCCCATCCAACCGGAATTAAGGACAGAATCCGCACATCAAGGAAAAGTGAATCCACAGTTCTAGATACGGGTTATTTAATGTGACCTGTAGATTTGCATGTATATCTCCCTGCTCAACCTATCCGAGCGTCGTGATGTTAGGCTAAACGGATCTAACTAGATCAAAGTTTGTCATGTCCTTAAATTCATTAGGTTCAACTTTCCCTAGTCAAGTCCATTTAAAAATTTTCATGCCTACCGGCGCATCGAGCACAGAGTGTAGACGATTCAACTTAGGTATGTTATGCAGATTCAGATTACCCTTTATCACTTGCTATTTCATTTCCGAAAACATCTCCTGCAAGCACATTCCATTATCACCATATTTTTGATTTTCTGATTTTCTAATGTTTTTGGATTTTTTTTTAATTTTTTAATTTTTGTTTTGTTTTTATTTCTGCCTCTAAATTTGTGCATAGGAGAGAAACGAAAGTAAATGTGCAAATTTAAACTATCATAAAACAAAAATTTGTCTTTAAAGCGAATCACCTTAAGAAAAACTTAGGAGTATAGAGAAGAAAATTCAAACCGTAAGTCACCGATTGAATTTGCATCCACAAGGTCTGAGCACAGCACGCATAATCTCAGAACATATCCAAAAATTCTTCACATCGTTAAGTACTATCCCCAGGAGTGATCCCTTCCTTTCTTCCTTCCCGCAAAGGACACATACTCTCAAATAATGTTCTGAGTGTTGTAAAGTTGAGAGATGTCCCCAATCATATGCCAGGAGCAGCCACTACCAATAAACCGAAGTCTGATGATATGCCTCCATAGCTGCTCCAACACAGAGCGGGATCAGTTGGTCTTTGGAACCCGGTCCATTTTAAATCTGGGTCGACCTTTGTCATCAACGCATGATACTCTCTCCCATGACATATCCTGCTTATCACAAACAGAAGACGATGAAATATTAAAGTCATTAGAAGATTTGGGAGTTTTCACCTTTGGTACCCATCTATATTCAGGTTTAACCCATTTCTTGTTCGATTCGATGGGTGCCTCGGCACTTGGTTTGGAACTTGAAGTTGGCTGCCGAGATGACTTTGACCTAACCGGTCTTGGCTTTACAGAAGCATCTCCTGGATTTGAATTTTGGGCCGACATTCCCTTCTTGCCCTTGGGATTTTGATGATTGGCCTTGGGAGTTGGATGCTTGGACTTGGCAGTTGTAACTCATAGATTGTTTTCGCCATCGAAGAACGATATAGACGAAGAGTGACGAAGGCGAAACTAGGGCTTCTGAAAATGCAAAGTCTTGAGCTAGGTTTTCTTATATGCAACAACAACGACGAAGTTGGAAACCATCGATATGTGTTGAACAGATCTTCGTACCAAGTTGTCGCTCTCTATCTCTTCCCATCTCTCTCTCTCTCTCTATCTCTCTCTCTATATATATATATATATATATATATATATATATCTATCTCTATCTATCTATCTATCTATCTATCTATCTATCTATCTCATTTTCTCCATCCCTCTCTCTCTTTCTCTCTCTCTCTCTGATGGATTTGTTTACATTTTTCCTCATTTTTCCAGATCCAACTGGTCATTGCCTGAAAAAAGATGTTGGTGGTGGTATTGAATTGGTGGTGATGGTGCTCGACTGGTGGTAGTGGTTTCCGAGAGGTGTTGGTGGTTGTTCATATTTTTTCGACAACTAATGGTGGTTATGTTATATTCCTATTTATGAAAAACTAGAGAGGTAGAGAGAGAGAGAGAGAGAGAGAGAGAGAGATGGGAAGAGGAAATGGGTTATTCTTTTTCACTTTATTTTAATATATTTAAATAAATAAATAAACAAAAATAAATAAGGTATGGGCAAAATGGTCATTATAAAAAAGTTCAAAGCAAATTGGACCAAAGTGGCAACAAAATCAAACGTTTGGAACTGGTGCTAGTTGAAACCTTTTTGGACCAACGTAGCAATTTTTGACGTACCCAGGGACCATTTGTGCAGTTTTGTCAAAGAAAAATAAAAAAGAAACTCTCTCTCTCTCTCTCTCTCTCTCTCTCTCCATCTCTAAAATACATAAGACAAAAAAACCCTCCCACTCCATCGTCTTTTTCCCATCCTTCACTTGCAACAATGCAAGCCATGAACACATTTTATTTTATTTTTGAATTGGCCAATATATTTTCTTTTAATTCTATTACACCATCATCGAAATAAGTACAAACCTCAGAATATCAAGGAATCTTCTTCAAAGAAACAACACTGAACCAACAGTTTCTCTAATCGTTCGACAGTCATATTATTGCCTTCATTCAATTACAATCCTTCATCTTCGTTCATCACCAAAACCATTTCAAAATTCAGATTAGAAAACATTGAATACCATTAAAAAAAACAGGTCCAGTCTTTCACAATTAATATTGATGCTCCATTAAAACTTATCTTGAATAAAAAAACAAAATTCATTCAACACATTGAGTAATCTAAAAACCATTTAACAGAATATCATCCAAACACAAAATCAACTGAAATCTGGAAAACTACCCAAGAATACTTCAATGAAAAATACCCTAAAAATTGGAATTATCATAAGAAAATAATGCCAAAATTTTATTTGGATTCTTGAATCGATATAGATGAACGAAAAATATAAAGCAATATGAAAAAACCCTAAAAATCAATCTAGTTGCAGATTCAGAAACCGAACCAAAATGTAGAAATCGATCCAAATGTTTCTACTAATGATGAAATCGATCTATCGTCGAATAAACACTAGAGTCATCACCCCCTTTTTCAGTCCGTCTTCTCCGATATGATCGACATATCTCGTATTCTTCAAAACAACATTTTGAATGACATACGTCTAAAGTGTCATATGAATCGAGTATGAATTATGAGATTAGATTACCAAAGTATGAATTAAGAACACACGATCTAAATATAATCTGACTGGCTTATTTGTGCTTTAGAATACAGAGACGTTTTAGAAAGAACATACAAGGTGAGAAACAAAACATTTGATACAACTCAAGACATAAACAACCTTTGGCACCTCACAACAATATTCAACCTCAACATTCTCCCCCTTGTGAGAAGTGCCGAATCAAATACATTATCAACTGAGCAGCTTGATGAATAACTCATCAAATTCCAACATACCAATTAATCGCCTTTCGAATTTCATCCTTTTCTTTATCATTGTTCTTTGCATAACTATATATTCGAACAATAAGATTTGTGTAATGAGGAGTGGTGTACCTCTCAACATCACATACTTGAAACATGAATATTGTGTTGTTTCCCCTTTTGTTTTTACCAATAAACTCAACTCCCAGAGGTTTCAAGCAAATCTCTCCATCTTCATAGTCTTTCAAACTAGCCTGACTTTTTAACATGGATTGGGGAACTGTGACCTGTTTTCCCAATGCCAGAGCTAGCTCAACATCTGTTAATGCTAAAGAACCATAGTATCCATCAATAAACACGTTTAAGTAAGCAAAACCAATTTCGAAATATTCTTTTTTGTCACTTGTAGCTTTGATACATCAACTGCCTTCAAAATCTTCGCAACACATAACAAATCATGAAGATTCATTATGGGAAAGTCTGTAACCGAGAAATCAAAAGCGACGTTGTTGGCTCGGACGGCATGACATGAGTAATTCCACAACATAACCACAAATAGAACAGCTTTGGATACATTGAGAACACGAACAATCTTGACTAGAGACCAAACTTCCTCCTCCCTTTTTCCCAACATAACATGGAATTGAAACTTCATTCGTTTAAATTCAATTTTGTCTTGTATTTTTCTGTCATCTCGAACTGCTCATCTAAAAACATCTTCGTATTTGTAGGAAAGTCCAGGTGATTGATATTAGAGTTCTCCGTATCATAACTCTTCATAGGGACTTTTTCAAAATCATGCATCTCCCCTGTCACAACCAAAGCTTCGATATACTCATAAGTATAATGTTTCGAAGGATGTTGAGACCAGAAGGGTCATTAGCCCTTTGTCGAAGGATACTTTGGATTTGTCTCTGTTTTTCCATCTTCTTTACAATTACAACTTTCTTTTCTTCGGTAAAAGTCTCATTGAAAATACGCTTTCCTTTGTTCTGTATTTCTTCAGTGGAAGGAGGTGGTTTCAAAGAACTTGACCCTCCACCAACAGTTCCAATCAGTATGCCTTTTTTTATTGGTTATGTTGTTGTTTTTGTTGTTGTTGTTGATGATGTTATCATGGATATCTTTGGTAATGAGGTGTGAAGTTGAGTAGTTATTACCTTCCTAACAACCTTTGCATTGTCATCTACTTTTGAAGATCCACTGCCCCCATGCTAACCTTTGAACTCACCGCAATGCTATCACCAATTCCTTCTCTCCCTTGCACCCCTGTTTGAACAGGTGGGGCATTCATTGGCATCAAATTCAATAACTTGGATAAAGGAGCCAATTCAGCTTTGAGTGTCGACTCCAAAGAAGCAAACTTTTGGAATAAAGAATCATGATTAATCAGCGAAGATGATGAACCAATCTTCGAGACTAAATCGTTAAGGTTAATCAACGAATCTTCAATCTTAGAAAAACTTTGTGTATCAAGTTCTACTATTTTATCAAGCTTCGAAATTAAGGATTGATACCATTTCACAACATTTGTAACCACAAATGCAATGATATCCAATTTGGTATGAAGAGTAGGAAAATAGTGAGATATAGCGGCAACTTCCTTCACCATATCTACCCGTAACTACTACAGTTTGAGATTAACATCTTCTTGAACTTTCTTAATACTTTGAACATATAGAAGATGTTTTTCTTTCTCCACAACTCTCAGTTCCTGGTCAAAAGATGATGATTGATCCTTGACACGTTTGTCGTTGTTTCTGTCTATAATTTCCAACTCATCCCTCAGACGAAGCTCTTGAACCTTGAGCATTACGTCAACCTCTATTCCCGATATCGAATGATGACCCCCTGTATCCGCCTGAAGTTGAAATAACGAGATCAACTTCCTGTTAAGAATTTTGAACTTTTTACCATACATTAACATATGATCTGTTATGTTTTCTTTCTCCGAATCAAATTCGAGATCAGGAAATGTACTTGTAAACTCACCATCGTTAGTGGTGGCATCGCCATTAACTGTTTTAGGGCCATCAGTGGATTGGGATGGAAAAATAGAAGTAATAGGTTGTTGAAGGATTTGATCAAAAGTTGGAGAATGAGTAGTTGGTGGTAAAGTGGTGGAAATAGTAGAAACAAATGGTGGTACAGAGAGATTGGTTGAAATGGTAGGTATGTCGAAAGTAGAAGAAATAACAATCGTAGGATTCCCTTGAGATTCGTTGTTCATCACTCCTTCACCCATGATGACATTTGTGTCCATATTAGATATGTTCACAGGGATGCCTGGAGTTTGAACCTCCTCAATAACTGATTCAACATTCGAAACTCCGGGTGGTATGATAATAGTCTTCACAGGAGTAGATTATTTCAATTGATCACCTTGGTTAATGGTTGTGTCCACATGAAATGTTTTAACAGAGCCATCAAGATCTCCAGTCACCTCGACATTTGAATTGATTAGAGAATACCTCTTTGGTGACAAAAAAATTGTATCATTAACAAGAACAGGTGATTCTGGTACAACTTCATCTTCATTTTCAACTAGCACTCTCTTTTTCTTCTTAGCAATCATTTTAGCCATGTCTCCAACCATTCTATTTTTAGACGCCGGAGAGACAGGAGTTGGAATCTCTCGAATCACAACACCTTTGTGATTAATTTAGGGCTTACGAGTGATCTGCAAAACAGATTTGGGAGAAAAAGTTCTAGACCTCTCAGGAGAATGACGAGGCCTATGATCCATCTTCTTCAAGCATTTCAAAATACTAGATTTCGAAAGCATCACCTCCATTACAGGTGCAAAAAGATTCAACAACAACATGCTTTTGTAGTTTCTTCGATGGTTGATCAGACTTAACAATCTTCTTTGGAGTAGCTTTAACAACCTTCTCCACTTGGTCCAGTTTCGAAGGAATCCTCTTAGCCTATTTCTTTGACTCCTTGTGCTTTTTCGACATTAAACTAGTGCTCATTGGAAGTAAAACTCATGTTTCAATAGAAGGATTGATAGTTTGCATATACGCCACCAATATAGGATTCGTGGGATCAACCTTTCTAAGCATTCCATCCGAACTTCTTGCAAAGGTTGGAAACATATCCGGATCATCATCGACAGTCTTTGGAAAATGATATAATGAGAAATTAGACATTTGTTCATCTTTAGGCACCAAAATACCTTCCTTTTCATAAGAGAATTGAAGAATCAAGCTCCAGTAATGAGCACATGAAATCCCATGAACAATATTCGTATTCCCAAAACTCTTCACAAACTCATCCCATAACTGAGTAGTGTAGTAAACTGGTAAATCATAATAGATACCTATAACCAAGGCATTAATCTCCATCTTTGCCTTATCTAATCCAACGCTTCGACCAATCAAGCATCGGAGGTAAATTCCAAACAATAAATTCCAGATACAAGGTAAGCCGGACTTCTTGAAATCACTTATCTTTGTAAGAACCGGCTGATAACCCATCTTGTTGAACATGTGAAGAGCTTGCTCATTTAAGACCTTATAGAAATTATCGACATTAGGGATATTTAGGATTTGTGCAAAGAGATTCTTGGTGAGTTTGAACTTCTTATCATTCGTCAGTTGAAAGGTAACCAAATTCAACACCTTGCTATAAACCGTTGTTTAACTAGCAAGGGATAACCACGACATGGTATCGATAAAGAATAGGACATTGTAGTAGATAAGACAAAACTTTTCAAAGCAACAATAGGCATCTATAATTCTTTTGGATATTAATCAACATCAAGATGAACTCGGAAATTTGTGCTTTGGATCTTCATGAGAGGTTGCGAAGTAATATCATCAGTTGTCTGAGATGCTTCAATATTTGTGTTCTTGTCCACCATTGTTAGGGTTTGAGAAATTGTAAAGAAAATAGCGCATCTGAATGGAAAAGAAATTTAGGGATTTTCAGATTGCGTAAAGTTGGAATGAAATCCAAAATACCCTTTTATACATAAACCCAATTTTGAATTTGAAGGGGCTTGATAATTAATTACAGATCTACATGTCACCTAAAAATTCGGACCGGTAGCCGCAAAGTCACCCACGCCTGAAAAGTGATGAGCGCTTTTCCTTGAAAACCGCGTAGTAACCAAAATGTCATTTCCATCAGTCTGTTCGATAGTACCAAGATGATAGGAACCTTCAGAAACCTTTGACATGGAGGTAAGGCTCTTTCACTTTTGGATTGAAAAGCGAAGTCACTAGACTTTTCGAAATCATCAGCTTGAGTTGGTATTATCAGAACCTCAAGGATTTCTGTGTGTGACAATGTGTGTCAAAAATATGATGAGATTAAGAAAAAATATTTAGATCTTTGATGTCAAAAGAAAATTGACATAAAGCAATAAGATCCCAGGCAAAGATCGCTTCGTTCTCCATCAAGAGAGATGTCAAACAACTTGTGTGGTTTCTTGTGAATTACAATCGAATACTCATAGAGGAGTGTCGAAGGGAATCTTTTAAAAAAGCTTCGTGGGTCGGATCAGATTTTGTTACAAATCACAACTTAACATAAGTGTGCAAAATTGTAAACAAAAGTACATGTTTGACCAGTGTAGTCAATGACAAGTAGACTTTGGAAAAACTTATTAAGTAACAAGTAACTAGAATTGATATCCATACACAAATAATACTCCAAAACAAAATTAAATTCTATATCTTGTTGGATAAAAATGTCATGGGTGTTGAGCATTTTAGAAAGACCACACAAAATGAAAGAATATGATTTTGGATATTGAAAAATGGTACTGAAACAAAATTTTCATTAAAAACTTGAACTAAAAAGTTCACCGTCAATTCATTATAAGTTTCAAAAGGTTGTGTTTCACATTCATCATGGTCTCATGAATCCTGATCATAAACACAAAGTGTTTACATACTTATAACATGGTTGGTTTCGACCATAGATGTCTTGGGTATGTGTCATAGTGTGTGATTGTGAAAGAACTTTAGGAGGAAAAAGGTTGGTTCAAGATTCGAAATGTACCTCTTCTATAATTGGACCAAGCAGAAAACTCTTTACTCATGTGAGAAGAGTATGGTAGCTTAGGAACTAATGTGAATATAGCTTGATTGGGAAGGAATCCTCATGATGAGAAAACCATTAAGGCGTCGACACATTGAGTTATCGAGGCTTGAGTCGACAAGCTGCAACATGCTTCTAGGGACATCTCATCTAGTACAAAGTATCGAATGAATACCTTTCCCAAGAGCTGCAAGCCATGTACCACTTAGAAATATTCGACAACCAACTATACAAGCTCATTAATCAAATCAAAACAAAAAAATATTTTTGGATTTTTGAGATTAGAATGAGAAAAAAAGAAATAAGAAAATCTTATTGGTATTTTTGAATGTTGAATGAAAATAACAAAAATAAGAAATTTTTTTGGTACTTCTGATTTTTGAATAAAAATAACAATAAGAACAAAATATTTTGGTATTTTTGATTATTGAATGAAGATAAAAAAAAAATAAGAAAATCTTTTTGGTATTTTTGATTTTTGAATGAAAAGAACAAAAATGAAATAAACGTACCAGACTAACGGAAATTAAAAAAAAAAACTTTGAAAAGATAATAAAAGTACCGACACAACGCGTTGAGAATGAGTGACGAACCTTTTGATAAATCATTCAGCGGAATGTTGAAAGTGGAGCATGTCGAAGGTGGTCCATGAACAGTAACCTTTGAATGAACCAAACATTCGACATTAACATTCTTTATAACACTTGTAGACCAGGAACTACATTCACATCTAACATGCCTAAGCCCACTAATATTCGTTGTGACAATTCGAAACTTTTATCCTGTGCAATTGATCCGTATATCAATATTAATCTCAAATTTATCAAATTTTTAGCGAAATTGTGGGTCCACATGAGTGCTTTAGGCTTAGTATAACCTAAACACGAGTCTTAATAAGGGTTAGAAACGGTGTTGCATCTCAAATCAAGCCAATCACACCAAGGAAGGTGTGTGCGGCCGCACAACCGTGTGTGCGGCCAGCCAACCGCACACCCAGCTGCACACACTCCCCCAGACACACACCCGACCCTATATATAGTAGAGGACTCCCTTTCAGTTACTTTTTCTTCTTTGGCTGCACACTACTCTCTCTCTCTCTACTTTCTCTTTCTAAAAATCTCATCCAAGAACACACTAAGAGCCTCAAAAACGTGATTAACACCATCATCTAGCTTGTATTACAGGTAAAACACCGAAATCTAGGCCTAAGACTCATAGTGTTCTTCGTGTTCTTCATCCTTTGAAGGAGTGAGGCCGCACAACTTCATAAGGTGGCCGCACACACCTCAAATACCCTCCAAAGTGAGAGTATGGCCCCTATATTCGAATTAAGACATGGTTTGGAACTTGAAATACCTCAAAAATCGACATTTCGGGCTCAAGCAAGGAGTGTATGGCTGCACACACCCCCTATACGGCCGCACACTCCTGTGTGCAACTGCACACACAAGTCTGGCCGAACCCCTGGCCGTACACTCACCTTTATGGCCATACACCCTCTCTAATGCTCATATTTGGCCATAAACTTGCAAGGATCACTACGTGTGGAACCTAGAACACTTAGTACAAACATTTACAAGACCTTACGGTGGATTCCCGTCATGATTAGTCATGAAATACCCTAATCTAATATGTATATGTGTTACCATATGATTAATAGGGTCCACTTGCGTTCAGAACATCCGTTGACACTCAGCACTCATATCGGTCGCACACTTGAATCCTACGTTAAACTGTGAGTTCATACCCCTACACTTTTCTGATTTTTCATGTTTTCAGGGGGGGGGGGGGAATACAAGCTAAACATAAAGGTTTTCATAACTTACAAACTGATGCAATTACAACGATTTTCTATCAAATGTTTAGATACAATTATCCTTTTTGTATTATGCGTAGCATAAGGAATGTTTTCAATTCAAAATTTCATAGTTTTCAAAACCATACACGAATGTAACAACCATTGAAACTATAATAGGTATAGTTTGGGATTTCATTACCAATCTTACATGTTCAAACTTCATGCAAAGTTAAACGTATAAACTATGTAAGATTTAGTTTATCCATTACTACGAATACAAAACTAGAGTATCATACTAAATAATTATTTTATGTATAATTATTTATACTCTACACCGTTACAAACGATTTCGAACTCGAGAACAACCGAAGAAACACGTAAACTAGTTAATAAAGGATTGTGAGACTATCTTCGTTTTGCCTATCGAGGTACCAATAAATCCTCACTGGTAGTATAACTAGAGTCTCCTGGAGGGAGAGCATGAAATTTGTGGATAGCTCTATTCGAGATCGACAATCCCACACCTAAACTGTTAGCTACAGTTACGCGGGCACGCCTGGGGTGACAAATTTTGTAATCATACGACGCCTGAAGAACGTCAAGGAGGTCACAGGTCAAATTAGTATGGTTATACGACCCACAATAAGTATAAACTAATCATTGTTTATGGGATTCCTTTCTTCTACAATTTTATATTAAGTAATAAAACTACGTATCTATTTACTCGAGGGTGTTCCAGGGACAAAAGC